TGTCTTATAGAGAACATTTCTTTGTTCAATTATCTACCTGTAATATTACCTATTGTCTATCTCATATCGATATGACTGACAGGCGATTCGTATTTCACTTTTAATATTCAATGTTGATTAAAAAATCAAATACTATGAACGACATTATCACAGTGGGTCTCAACACTTATGATTACAATTAATTAATTTTGCTACAAAATGATAGCTACAACAACGAAATTATCCAGAGAAAAAAAAATGTACCGTTGTCGGTTGAACCACTAGGAACACTTATAAATGTTCTACGTTAACAATCTCTCCATTCCAACCCTCTCCTGATCTCATAAGGTGTTTAGGTGAAGAGGTAATCAAATATTAAAATGTTGTACTCATCGGAACTCTCTTTCAAAACTGTCCTTGCAAATCTATTTGATATATAAGGACACTTCCGGAAACAACAGTTGATATTCGCTAGGCAGAGGTCACGGATGACGATGATATCGGGACGAATTTGAAAGTACATTTATAATTCTTGTTATTTCTTGTGAGAACATTCTGCTGTAAGTTGATCAGGCATCTTACGCCTGTCATTAAATCTAGGAAAAACTTCTAGATGCCCCCCCCCCCCCCCCCCCAGGATAAACTTGTAGATGCACCTCAGGATAAACTTCTAGATGCCACCCCCTCCCCCCCCAGGATAAACTTGTAGATGCGCTCCCCAACCCTTCCCTATCCCCCTCCTCCACATTTGACGGTGCATTTTGCTGTCAAGCCCGTACTTAGTTCCCTAGCAGGTGTTACACGCCGATTAAGGATGGCATTGTCAGAATACATTGAAATGAATGACATATTGTTCTCCTAATATTTTGATATTTCTGTACATTCTTTCAGTAGTAACGGAGTTGTTGGGTACAGGGAGTCCACTGCGGCCCCATTTCCCATGTATTTTTGTGTTACACATTCCGAGACATAATCTTTTGTACTTTTACAAAAAAAACAAAGATTTGTAAGACACACAAGTGAATCGCACCATTAAATACAAATTTGATGTGAGTGATACTAAGGCCTGAATTTTGAAGCCTATATTGAAGGAGAAAATCCAAAGTGATCAAGAAAGGTCACAATCTAGTTCAGGATGTACATTAACCTATAATCTAACAAATTCCTTAATTTTCATTTATCAAAAAAATTCAAAAAATTATAAAGAAACGGGTTTTTCCGGTTTCCATAGAGACATTTCCAATGGCGTTTGAAATATTATATATATATAATCTTTATATTGATTTTAAAGACACAGAACGGATCACATAACCAATACTGTGCGATAGTTATCATCTAGAGACGACAATCTATTACAGACATCAAAGCTACAACCATTCTCTATGTAACTCATACCCTTACTCTGGATTTCTATCAAAACCCAATAAATCGATTTTCTCATTTTTTTCTAGATCTTGATGCATGAAAAATTCACAAAAATAAATTTGTTACATAAACAGTTGTACACAGACACAATCTGTATAAAACACGCTGATTGTAAAGAGAGAATTCTAAATTACAGCGTGTAGAGATAGATTATCGATTTAATGAGAGTGTTCGGTGGAAACTGTGTGATGAACGAGATCAGATAACAATGTCATTTGTAAGTAACAGAAATAAATATCAATGTAAATTATAAGTTTTGTAATAAAACTAACATAGACAAATGTACACTCAAAGTTCTATATAAAAAATTCGGAATGTTCGTCCTCCTGATGTAGGGGACAGATAATGTTAGGTTTTCTGTGTTTCAATGTCAAGGTTATTTCTTTGTCCAGAGGTAGCAAGGGAGAGGATCATATTGATACCAAATAGATACAAGGCCACGAGTTTCATCTCAAATGTATTAGAATAAATATTGATCGAACCTTTCCACCAAACACCACTTTTAAAACCCCATAACTTGACATTCAAGTTGTGTAAACGAGACAAGGACATACTTGGAAGACCAGAATAGGTACGATGAAATAATTCTTTTATTGATGTAACACATCAAGTTGGCCTTCGTAGTTACACAATATTAATTCAGTGTCAGTACACGATCAGAAGTAGAGACGACATCTAAACAAAGGGGAAAGCAACATAAACCTTTAAAATGATGATTGAGGTTTCTTGAACCGAGTTTGTGACTTCTATTATATCTTCCCACTTTGCATTCAGTGACCGTTTTAACTTGTCTTTCCAACACAATAAATACCATTAGACGTTGCATCAGGTAATACGAGAGAAGAAAGATTTCTTTCAATTAGAAAGCAGAACCATGTAATGGAAGAAAGTGTATTCTCTCATCAATTGCGAGCGTACCCTTTCCGAGCAGCATTTATTAATTACACGCTCATGAATCAGGATGGAGATGGTACTCCGCCATTTGTCACTAAGGACAGCCTCACTTAGCCTGCTCTCGAATCAATCTCTCACAGTCGTCCATCTTGTATGATGATTTTACGTTCGCTGTCAAGCATATGTTACTGTTTTACATGGAATTTTGGAATAGATGAACGTTGACGGTGTTCGTGAGATCAGTGTAACAGACTTAAGGTCATTTGTACCTGTATGTCACCAGGGGCAGAATGATTCTAATGGAAGTACGGTAGATTGCCTTAAATATTAACCAGAAAAGTGCAACATCAACACAAAATAAAAATAAATGATATATATTCTACACTAAATTAGTAAAGATAGTTTTAATTGTCTGGAATTTACTCAATATTGTATAGATATACAATATCTCAGACTTATTGTATCTGATTCTAAATTTGTATGAAAAGGCGTTATTCCCTTACGTGTCTTTTGTACAGATTTTAAGATATCAGGAGGTAGACACTGCTGTTGGACTTTAAGTCCCGAGGATTTCCGTAACCTGCTTGCAACATTTCAATTCATTTGAATACTGACACGGTTCAGAATATACACATGTACTGGACGTTGTTTTAAATCATCTGTTATATAGACACTACGACAACTTATTGAATTATGGGGCTGCTGCCTCTCACCGCCTGTCTATATGTTGACTTTCGATCACATTGGATTTTCCTCAGACGCCTCCACGGCTCAAAAAATAAAGCATCACTGACGAGTCCTAGGGGGACGTAACAGCTGTATGGTGCAGTTTGATTCAATGTTTGGCACTACTGTATCTGGCTCTAAATTTGTAATAAAAGATGTTTTTCCCTCTGTGTCTTTTGTACAATCTTTGATTGTGATATTTAAAGGAGGAACACAAAGGGCAACCATCCTTTCAATGTGCAGAAAAGGAAATTATTGACATTTTAACAGAATCTTGATTCATACAAAAATCGATAAAATTAGGGCGATATATGAACGCAAAAATAAAAACCCTACACACACAAGGTCAATAAGACCAGGTGTTTCGCATGGGTAAGCGTTTTCTGCTTTAGCGACCGACACTCGTAAAGCTATCTAGGTCAAATAAGATAATGGCGTAATCAATGTCATGTTCTTAAATGAGAACAAAGTCTACAACTAAATCACACGATATACTAATAATGATGATCGAGCACATCTATCTTCTTATCACACAATGCAAGATATCAATAAAAATATGGTCATTGTGCGTATGACTATGACGTCATGCCATCAAAATGAGAAATATCTTTTTGGCACTTAAAAGTGTTTGAACTTGCAAGGCAGCTTCGTGTCTTTTGCTAACTGGCAGAAACCATGATCTGATTGAATATAGTATTTGTTTATTTTGGTGGTTTCTTTCTTTCTTTTTTTGTTTTTTGTTTTTTGTTGTTTTTTGTTGTTTTTTGTGTTGTTGTTTTATTTTTTTATATAAAGCAATCTGGTGATATCCAAAACTGAAGATATATTTAGTTGCGTCTCTTGTTTAATGAAAAATCAAACGTTCGTGAATGGAATAAAACTCGTGGCTTTTTTTTTGTTGTTTGTATTTTCCTTCCGTTTATTCACCAATCACTATACTGCTTGTTTTACGGTACTTACAGTAGCAACCCCAGTGACATCATCTTCCAATTTAGCATGGAATAATATAGTTACATTGTCAGGGTATTGGATATTCAAAAGATAACATGAACATGCATTAAGTTTTCATTTTTCCAATTTTAATGGAACAATATACAGTATATAAAAAGAAGAACACATTTCAACCATATCAAAATATTACAATGAATACTCTGTAGAGACACATTGATGTCTATTAGCGGGATCACAGACAGTTCACAGTATCTTGGAAAGACCTGACGATGGAAACATTTCACGATATGTCGAAAAAGGGAAAATAGAATGTCAACTTTGAAGATAACAAATATATATATATATATTGCAGAATTAGTAGAATGTTAATTAAACTTTAACATACTTCACTCCTTAATCTAGCGTTCATCACCAACAAACTCCTTAATCTAGCGTTCATCACCAACACACTCCTTAATCTAGCGTTCATCACCAACACACTCCTTAATCTAGCGTTCATCACCAACACACTCCTTAATCTAGCGTTCATCACCAACACACTCCTTAATCTAGCGTTCATCACCAACACACTCCTTATCTTAACCGTATGATGAAATATCAGTGATGTTCAATTAACAGCTCAGTACAAACAATTGTTTCATTTTTCCTTTCTGTTGAAATGATAAAGAATTCAAATAAATGATAGAATATTACAGATTGTCAATTACTTAAACAAAATGTAGTATATCACGGGGAAAAACAGCTCAACAACAGTAAATCAAATATAAGTAAGTATACTTGAGAATTTTATACGAAGGTTTGACGAACATTTCAATAAACATAAGAAATATTATATTTGTTTTAGATTCCAAGTTGAATGGTAACAGACTTCATAACAAAACGTAATTTAAATTCGAAAAATGATTAATAAACAACTAATTAATAACGAGAACATCAATTAATTAATAACAACAAATTAACGAATTATAAAGAGGACAAAACGTTATGGAACACGATAAATCACAGCTTTCAAAGTTCGAACCAGATCACAGAGAACTGTTTTTTAACTGTAATACATTATATTCCCTCAGGGTCTCCAGTTCACAGTTCTGTTGAAGCTGACAGTATAACAACGTTTCGTTGTCCATATTAATACCGTGTTGAGTAAAACACGACATCCACGTTCGAAGCACTTTTCGAAAGTCTGGATTTCCAATTCCGTACAGGAAAGGATTGATTGTGGAATTGGCAGCCAGTATCCAGTAGAAAAATACGGACAACCAAGATGGAATGCAAGATGGACAAAACGCATACACGACACTACTGAGGGTATATGGCGTCCAGCAAACTGACGCCACCAACGTCAACAGTCCGAGTGACAAAATCGCCTTTTTGTCCTGCCGTCCGAGAAAGTCTTTTACAATGTCGTCACTCTGTTTGCGCGAGGGAAAGCTCGGCTTTTGTTGTAGGACGCAGTGGTTGTTTCTGTTAGACTTAACGAGCGATGCCGTATCAACGGACACACGTCGGCTGGTTTGATGAGCTCGGTTGAAGTTACCCAGTGAGTTCTTAGGCACTTTGTAGAAGGAAGTGGATGCTCGACGTGACGTGTACAAATAAACACTGTGGCGTCTGACGTCAGGCATATGTGTGTACAACGTCACATCCGATGTCGCATCATCAAAAGTGTTATTGTTATTATTGAAACTATTACTACCACCAGAGTCGGACGATGTTTTTCTACTATATAACATGTAGGTGTCCGAAGAACTCATCGATCTTCGGATTTTCTTTGTATTTCTTCTTCTTGACAGTTTAAAATAAATTCCAAAATTAAGGAAGATGAGGCACGTAAGTGGAGTGAAATATTCAAGTACAAAAGCGCAAATTGTAAAGATAAAGTTTCTCTTTGGTGGAACGCGACAGTATGTCTCTGTAGTAACTCCCGCGGAGGCATCAAAACTTTCCCAACCAAGAATCAGGGGGATATGTAATATGAAGCTGACAAACCAACAACACACAACAATAATCGCCGCCATTGTTCTGCTCTGACGTACCCGGTACGAGAACGGGAAGTTGATGGACCACCAACGATCGAGAGTTAACAGTATTATACTGATGAAGGAGATGAAAAAAAGTGAGTATCTTACCATGAGAAACACCCAACATGAAAAAGGCCAAAATATCCACTTCCGGCTTAAAGTCTCCACAATGGAAAGCGGCATAGACAGTCCAATTAGAAAATCGGCAACAGCAATACTAAGTATGTAGATATTACGACACCTCCGGATACACCGCTTTCTGATAAATATTAGTATTATTGCGCCGTTCGCCAGCACGTTCACCACTACCATGGCAATAAGCGGAACGGCAGCCAACCATAAACTTAGCTGGTCATCTTCAGGTTCAACGGCAAGTCCTGGTTCATTGCCGCTAGTAATGAGATGGCGGGAAAAGTTATCACTGACAACGGGTCCATTGCTAGCATCACCCGCTGTATAATACAATTCATCGCTTGGTTTCATTGTAGAACTCTCTTTATCTTCGGTCATTTTCCACAGGTCCATAAGAATTTCACTCATTCTAGACATTTATGAACAAATAATACTTAAGATAGTTTTATTTTGAATGCTTAGGGCGAACAGTGGTACATTTCATCTAGAAGTGACAGATACGTATCAGCGTCCAAGCACATGCATATATAAACAACGTCTTCGAAGAAGAGATGTCTATCATAGTCCTTTTTGTCGAATTGATAAAGTTCTGATTGCTTGAATTGATTTCCAATAAATCCGTGTTACAAAGAGCGGCATGCATATGGTCCGTCACAAAAGAGACAATGAGAACTGTTTACCGTTGGAATAGCTTTGCAGTGGTGTTCATTCAAATAACGCTCCAGTTGTGCGCATGTTTCGGTTCTAACTCAGCAACTGACACAGAGCTGTGAGCCAGGCTGGTTTTATTCCAAAGCCCGCTTCACGGCAGCAATGGTGTCGTAATAACGTTGATGGCGACGTCTAGCGGTAGGTAGGAAGCAGTGCTCTGGCACAGTCCACAGGCATCGATACCAGCATTTGTCAATCAAAGCATAGACCAGCCTCTGTAGCCAAGTATCGATCGACAGCTGGAGATTACCATCCTCGGCGACAGAACATACCAAGGCTGCAATGTGCACGTTACATATATGTACGTGTGTCGTCCAAATATCATGGTATTGGTCTCAGCTAGTTAGCGAACCCCGCCTTTATGGAATTCGTTCAGTCGTTTATTAGTCACAAATTTAAGACAGATCTAATGCATGTTTAAATAAAATACAAAACAAAGACAGAAAGTATAAGGCACACTTCCCAAACAAACACATATGTTAAATATTGGCAAATGAATACTATTTAATAATTAAGAAATCAATAATCAACATTAGTTTTAACACATATGTAGAGTGTCTCTCTCCCCCCATGTCCATCAAGGCAACCCGGCATTTAGGTAATGGAAGACTCTCAAAACGAGAACCAGGATAGTTACAAAAGTCAACACGCCAAGCATGACACCAAAAATTTACAACATTTCATTGAATCAGAAAAAAATAATTTCATATCTGTTTAATGGACGTATACGACATAGGGTTGACTGTGGCGATCACGCGGTACTTGGTAGTCATAAATCGGTCACTGCTCAGATATTCAACTTGCGCTTAAAATATTTAAACTTGTTAGTGTTTTGAGTCACTATCAGTCTTCTAGTGCTCGTTACGGTAGTCTGTGTCAATAAAAACCACAAAAGACACCACAATACCGACAACAGGCAAGCTGATCTGAATCAAATTGATATATAAACAGCTGTTCTTCGTGTCTGATTTACAGTTGTCGTGTTTTTGCTTATTATCGTTGCAAAATGTTTAAAAGGTAAGGAAAGATATGTTATGGCAGTGAATGCACTTTTACTAGGAATGTGATCCCAAAATTCTCATAAAAGAAGAAAAAGTGATATAGTCATTTACAACAGCCAGTCTTTTAGCAGAGAAGTAGAAAGTCGTGGACTCCTGTATCATATAGCTGTCGTTATTCACCGCCAGCAAAGGAAATAAATTGATAAAAAAAATATGGCTAACAAAATTAGAATAATGAATAAATGAGACAAAACTTGAGTAAGGCATTCCGACTTGAAATTGTTTCTGAGTAAGACAAAGCACTTTTTTTTAATCCATACTAAAAAGAAGTACTGCTGAATCATGAATTTTCGTGCAGGTTTCATTTACGTTGATTTCACGGTTATTCTTAAGCCATTAATTTCTATAATTTTTCCCCTTGAAAACCGCAAGAATTGCCCTCGAAAAGATTTTCAAACCTCATAATAACCAGAGTGATGGCGAATTATACATATGCTTTCATGTACAAATGAAAATAACACGACCTTTTTCCGATGGTTAACTCCATCAACAACAAAGCTGTATAATCTGACACCCGATTAATGACCACGGGACTGATTAAGACGTTTTGGTTGTACATGTAGCTCCATGTTGTATTAATCAGCATTAACTTAAAATGGAACGAAAGATGCTTTTTTCATACGAGCTCTGCAGACTGCTCAAAAGAGCAGTGTACGAACGTGACCGATGGAAAACCTTTGGCATTTCACTTCTTTACAAAGTAAACAGCTCACCGACTTCCTTAATTGACTTTACCTAGTCGTATTGTCATCGATTATTAATATGAACGACAAGCTCCAAGCTGACCAGCAAAGCGACATATGTTGTAATGTCAAAACTAACCATTGTTAGCACCTCAGTTGGATACCAGAACAGGTTACATTGTAACCACGGATATAACTCTCCATACCTAGACAGGCGACAGTGGTAACCACGGATATAACTCTCCATACCAGGACAGGTGACAGTGGTAACTACGGATATAACTAGATATCTGAAAAGGTGATCATTTACCACAGATATCGCAATCAAAGGAGAGAGAACAGTTTACATTACAGGGATACCAGTTTATATCCGGTCAAAGGTGTTCTCACTTATGATGCAGTCTAGTGTGAATTTGCACATGAAAATGTTATTTTATAAGGTTTAAATTCTTGCTTTTAAGCCCAATTAACTGTTGTAATTAAGACATTGGCACTGTTTCGAATACTTAGAAATGTGCCCAAAGTAACATTGAGAGACTGGTGTTTGCTCTACCTTAGCCGGTTGGAACGATCGTTATGGTGAAGCAAACTTCTGTGAAATACCAAGTAACGCCTGTCTTGTTTTGTAGCAGGTATATCCATGAATTGACTCCTACTCGCCGTGATAGCCAGTTACAACCGTATCCCTCCGTTTGTATCTGTCGATATTTTTCTAATCTCTGCATATCATATACGACCAGTGTTAACGGTTTTGTAGAATTAGCACCAAACATTCAGTAAATATTCACTGGATCGGTTACCCCGTTCCTGACTCCCCTGCCCCTCTCACCCTGCTTTCACCCCTTCCCGCTTCCAACCTGCCCCAATTCTCCGTCTCCCGCTTCCGCAAGCACCGTCCCGCCTCCTCCGTCCAGGATACGTTCCGTCCCGCTTCCCCTACTTCTCCCCGCCCCGGCTCTGAGCAGACCCGATTTTCCCGCTCGTCCGTCTGTAACATGTGCTGTCCCGTCCTGCTTCCCTTGCCCTCCCCGCCCCGCTCTGACCCGACCCGCCTTTCCCGATCCTCCGTCTCTGATCCGCCTTTCTCGCTTCCCCTGCCTTTCCCCGCCCTGGCTCTGACCCTACTAGCATGTCACGCTCCACCGACTCCGACACGCCCTGTCCTCTTTTTAAAGACTTGATAATGAATCACTTTGTTACATTTCAAACCAATTATTGAAATGCCGACGATCCGATCACGCATGTCTCGCATGTTTCGGTCGTTACTTACTAGTAACGGAAATCTCACAGATTGTTTTGAGTGTTCACGCGTGTGTTTGTTATCTTACTTTCTAGTTACTGAGTTCAATAAATCTCAGAAAACACGCCCTGTAACTTAGTCATGTTTGCCCTAATCTAACGCGTCCTTCATCATCTTTGTTGATATCCATTTATTCTAGTTTTCACAAACAGACCGACACAACAATGTTGGCATAACAAAATAATATCCACGGCATTCAGGATGGTGAAAGTAACACCAAGTTTTCGCTAGACAAGACTGATACCTTGAAGGGCAGTATTTTGTATGATCATATTGATCCTTGAATGTCAATGTATTTCATATGTAACCGATCGGACAGCGACCTTGTCCTAACACATATGAAGCCTGCTAGAGGGTGTTTTCGCGTAATTGTACGTATACGACTGACATGTTCCTAATTTCATCACTAACTTTCTGACTGAGCATAATCGGGCGAAAAATCACCAAGAGGCACAGTTGGACTGCATTGCTCACTTGGTGTTTATTGTTTTGTTTTTTTTTCCCAAAAAAAAAAAAAAAAATGAATATTTCATATGATTGATTTTCAAAGTCTTGCTTACTGAGAAAAAGTCGGTTGAAAGTTTGAACAAGTGTGACATTAAATATGAGTTAAAATGATTTCTTTTGGTAAATTTTGACAGTCTTGTTTCAATGAACCTTCCAGCCAAATATCATGACTCTAGAGTCAAAATTCAGTTCTTTTTCCATGTTCGGCTTATTCCTTAAACGCCATATCATAACAACAACAGGAAAGAGACCGTAATATATCCATACACACAAACGTGCACATGTAAAGGCAAACGGAGAAAAAGGAGTGAATTCTATAAATTATTTCTACTGACAGCGACTCCACTACCTGACGGCGGAGTCTATAACGGCACCTGCTATTTTGTATTTGACGAGACCAACATTAAAGTAGATTAACTTTTCTAATGATAGCTCTGTGTTACTGTTTGCAGTGAATCAATATACTGATGATGTAATGGGGATTATATATATATACACATATATCGTTCTGGGTTAGACGATGTAGATATACGGCGGTTTTAAAGCACCGGAAGTAGCTAGTAGTGGAAAGTATAAATGTTCTTTCCGCTAATTGTCAGGGTCTTGATAATATCGTTAAAAGGGAAGATGTTTTATCTAACTTAAAATCTAAAAATTCTGTAGTTATTGTTTACAAGATACGTATTTTCACGGAAGAAAAGCAAACTTCTATGATAAGATAAGCAAAATCTTATTTTGTCGCGAATGTTCTAGATCAACAACAATTGGAATAGTTACAAGCAAGAGGTAGAGTCCCAACATTTCTTCATGTGTAGCTAGTATAGTCAAAGACTCCAATAGTCACTGATGATACTGAGACCGGAAGTTGTCTTAATTAGTATTTATACAGCAACCCAATAAGTAAATGAAACATGCCAAAACGACCTTGAAAAACAGATTCATGTTTATTTTTACGACTTTTCGATGTACATACCTTATTTCTGACAGCCAAACGGTTTCAGAGCCAAACACTGGTGTGTGACAACACTGACTAATATTACTAATACTTTATATAATGTCATAGACACAGGAATATGAACTTTTTATTTTTAGATTTTAGAAAGACATTCGACCTACTGCACCACTTAATCTTACTCTCTAAGCTCA